TACCCAATTGGTGTCACCATTGCTTGCTTGTCTCCATGATTCATTCAGGTGCGTTCGCCCAATAATCCCATTGGCTCCGTTACTCAAATGGTGGATTAGTCATTTGCACTAGTTTTTTGCTCAAAATGGGGTGTCACGACTCAAGAGACCAAGGACGTCACTTTGTACCCCCAAAGAAATAAATTTTCGAATAAATAAGCTTGATACTTGCGGTACATTACCCAAGGCAACCAGATCTCTACTCTTGCGATAAAGCGCGAACGAAGAACTTACAGCCATTTTCGGCATTTACAGCTTGGAATCTAATCAGAATTAGTTAACCACTTTTGACCAGCAATCAGGTGCCCGGATCGTTTTGGCAATCGATGGAGTTCCGCTAAAGACATGAATTAAAAAACCAGTGACGCCCCGCGACGAGAAGATTGTGCAATGAAGCCTTCGGCCCCGTTTGGATTGCATTTTTCATGATTTTTCATGAAAAAATTATTGTAACGATTTGATGTATGTGAGAGAAAAAAGTAATAGAAAAATGTGATCACGAAAAATGACACAATTCTCCGGCAGAAAATGACAATCAAAACAGGGCCGGCTTTTGCAGAACACCACATCCATCCCAATTCTTCTTTTTCTCCTTCGGCTCAGTTTAGATTAACTGTTTTTGGGAATATTTTTAAAAAATTTTAACTGGAGTAGAGTTTTTAGAATATATTTTTGAATATTTTTAAAAAATATTTTGAAATATTTAAGAATAGTATAATTTTTAAAATATTTTTAAAATATTTTTTAAATATTAAAAAAATTTTAATTACTTTTTAGAGTACTTTTTAAAGTACTTTTTAAAAATTTTTGTACTATTTAAACAACTAGTTTTTCAAGAATATAAGGAAGGAAGAGAATCTAAGAAGAAAACAACGCCAAAAGGCCCTACACAGGATCCACTTACCATGAATGAAGTAAAAGGAACGATTTGAGAGGGGTCAATAAAATGGCCAATCAAAACGCTCCTTTTCGCCCAATGTACAATTGGCTGCAACCTCTCCGACAAGAATCCAAAGTCCGAGATCAAAATGGTCGAATATAAAATAATGCCCAAATACAGAACATCTTTACAAAGGTTGCCCATTAATTAAACTAAATTTATTAAAACCTAGATAAAGAGGTCAACTTAGATGGCATATGAAAATGACTACACAGAGAATTGGGCAACAGTTGAGACCGAATTTACATCAGCAGACTGATTCGGTCACATTCCCAGTTCTCCACAGTAGGGAGAATACAAAGGGCCTCCGTACATCTTGTTCATCAGGAACTAAGAAGAGGAAATGAACATATTTAAAACAGGAAAACGAGCAACAAAATTCCAAAAAACAGACGACCTCAACGACAAACTAGAGAGCAGAGTCCATCCACCGGACTGAAATGCTTAAAATGGAGATGCTACAATAGGGACTAGTACAAACTCAAGCAACACAGTAGGCAGTCCACTGCTCATCCTCACCAGCGGCAGACTCAATAGCAGCACCAAAAGATTCATCATCGCAATAATAGTAACCACTATTAGCAGTCAAGCAGCAAGAGGAAGGTGCCACAAGATAAGGCATGTTGTGGAAGTAACGGGCTAGGCCACTGGCCAAGGAAACATGGGCCATGCCATCATCATCTTCTTCATGCACAAATTCCTCAGCGCGGTGCTTGAGAGTCTCAAACATAAGCTCAGGCTCATGCTGCATCACCCGGAGGACATCCCCGCAGGACAATCCAGGGACGGCACACGTCACAGCAAAGCTGTGAGGGCCATCACTCTGGGACACGCGTACGACGCTAGGGCCGCCGAACAGGTTATGGAATCCTCCGAGCGCCTCCTCATAAGCCCCACCCAAGAACATCCCCAGAAAGTATCCCCCACCACTACCACCAATGCCTTCCAATTCATGGAGGGGCAAGCTTGACTCACCTCCAATAAACTTGTCGATCTTCCCATCACTGTCACACGTCAGGTCCGACAATATTCCCCTCATTCCAGGCTTCTCATCAAGCCGGTGAATTGGGACAATCGGGAAAAGCTGACCGATGGCCCAAAAATCAGGAATTGAAGTGAAAATGGATAGATTGACATGGTAAGTACGGACAGGCTCAGATGCCCCAACAGCCTTGGAAACAAACTCACACAGGCCATCCACTGCAGCCAATTGTTCAATACCTAAAGACCCTTCCTTAAACTGCTCGATACATTTCTGCTTGAGCTGATCAGCATATAGCACACAAGTATCATACTCCCCGTGGACGGCCGCAGAATATAAATTTCTATAATCAGCTCTGCCTTCCTCGGTGAGACGCTCAACAAAATACTGAAGGCCAAGAGATGATACCTGCGGAGTCTCATAGGAGCTGGCAGAGACAGCTTCAAATATCAAAATTGAGTGATGGGACACAATTGCCCGACCACTCTCACTGCATAACACCGGGTGCTTAACGCCATTGCGGTCACACACGAAGCGGACTGCCTGCACCACAGCGGAGGCATATTCTTGGAGAGTATAGGCCACAGAGATATCAGAATTAGCTGACTTTGAGCCATCGTAATCAATCCCAAGCCCACCTCCAATATCAATAACCTTCATGCAAGCACCTAGGCGTACTAATTCACAATATATCTGCGCGGCCTCGCCAACACCGTCAGCGAGTAGCGCCGTCGAAGGGATCTGAGATCCAATATGGAAATGCAGCAACTGAAGACAATCTAAAAATCCAGAGAGTTCAAGCTTCTTCACAACACGGAGAATTTGAGTGGTCGTTAATCCAAACTTACCTTTCTCACCCGAAGTTGACCCGAAATGCCCAGAATGCTTGGTCCTTAACTTGGCCCGAACTCCAATGACGGGCCGGACACCAATTTTCTTGCTTATGTCAATCACCAAATCAACTTCCTCCTCTTGTTCAAGCACAATCACAGTGTTCAAGCACAGCTTTCGTGCAAGCAAGGCCAGAGAGATATACTCGACGTCTTTAAAGCCGTTGCAGACCAAAAGAGCATCTGGGCTTCCCTTGCAAAGGCAGCTCATGGCAAGGAGAAGTTCAGGTTTGGACCCGGCCTCCAATCCAAACCGGAAAGGCGACCCAAATTTGACGATGTCCTCAACCACAAAGCGGTCCTGGTTGCATTTCACCGGATAAACGCCTTGGTAACGAGCTTCGTAGCCTTGGGATTGAACAGCATAATCAAAAGCAGATTGGAGGGACTCGAGGCGGTTTTTGAGCACGTCTGGGAAGCGGACAATGAGGGGGAGCTGCAATCCAAGACCGCCAGAGGATTTCGGGTCGGATGCTCTCTTCACCACCTTGAGGAGGTCGATCTCCTGGTGGGAAAGGGTATCGGTACCGTAAGGGCGGATGGAAATGTTGCCGGAGCAGTTGACGGTGAAGTAAGGGGCGCCCCATCCATCAACCTTGTAAAGTGCAGCAGAAAGAGCTGGCGACCAATGACAGACATCAGCGGTGGCGGAGGCGTTTGTCGGCGAAGGTACGCCGGCGGCAGAGGAGGGGAGAAATACAGAATCAGCCGCCGGCGCGGGAAGAGAGCTGTCCCTGGCGAAGACGTACCCAGGAGGAGGAGCTACAGTGGCGTCTACGCAGCATGCAAGGGCCGGCATCTCTTCCCCGATCTGTTTTTTTTTAATTATTATTTCTTTTTGCTAGAGATCGGAAAAAAGAATCAAAGAATAGTTTTGTTGTTAAATTTTATACTTGGGAATTTTTACAATTGGTTCCGTGAGGGCGGATGTTAAATCTATTTTTAATTTTTGTATGGTTGTAACAGGTGGGGGCTTTAGAACCCGCCGAGGCCGAGGCCCCGGCTACCCCCTCAAAAGAAGCAAAAAGAGATCTGAATCAAAAGACAACCAAACCCAGATTCACCCTTACAAGACGCAGATATCCCCACGCCTACCCCTCAGAAGAAGTGGATTTTGGTTTCACAAATTAATAAACGGGGGAGAATATGGAAAGAGGTCACAATTCTATGCTCCGAAGGAGGGCTTCACCATGCAGATCTAAAAAAAATTTTTCCAAAAAAAAAAGGCCAAGAGCTGCGGAAAGGTTTTACAGATTCAGGGTGGGTAACAACAGAGGAGGCCGATGAGGAAGGAGAGATTTAGAAAAGTTTTTGCCGGGGGTGGGGGTAGGGAGGAGGAGGGTGAAGAGGGAGGGTGGGTGAGGGAGCGCGCGGTGACGGAAACCTAACGGCTAAGGAAACAGAGGGGGCTAGGGTTTCTGTATAAGGCTTGTCAAAACAACGCTGCACGAGAACTGAGTGAGCGAGAATTGCATGAGAGCCACTATCGGTTTATATAGGTGGAGGGGGAGTTTAGGAGCTCTGTTACTGGGCCCTACCTCTTTTGTTAATTGAAATATCTAGTTTTTTTTTTTTTTCCTCCTTTTCTTCTGTCCGATCTGCATTTCTTGGGTGGGTTATATACTTGGTGAGTGATGGGTTAAGGGTACTTTTTGGGGTTTGTAGAGAGTAAATTCCGTTTGTCATAAATTTTGTACAAATTTTATTTATTTTTTTCAACACTACTATTTCTTAGGACGAAATAATGACCTAGACATCAAATTTGAAATGCAAGCAAGTTAATTAGACCAAAAATACTTTCTTTTCAACAAGAATTTTTCCAATCCATTTTAACTCGTAAGTATGCGCGTACTAGTGCAGATTGTTTGGTGCGGGGACTTGACAAAATAAATTTTGGACTTTTTCACAGTTTACAATTTCCTCCTTTTTTTTTTCTGTATTTGGTGGGTCCGAGATTCTGTCGCGGGTTCTAATCAGCGTCGGGTCGCCGCGTGGCCTAAGGTCGTGGAATCACAATTCGGGAGTCTTCACTCACTGGTGTCATCAGTGACAGGGTTAGTGCTTGAATTCGCGTGGCGAGATGAAAGATGATAGAGGTTAGTTGAGTCTGGAAATATCGTGAGAAATTTGAATTGTGGGTTTTACATGTATGACACGACACTACGACAAAGATGAGGAAATGAGGAAGAAGGTTCATGGCTATTTGGTCTTCCAAACTACGGCCATGATATTACCACCTCAGCCTCTCTGGTTGTTTGCCTTCCGCCTTGAACTCCACACCACCCACACTCCTTATGGCGGTTGTAATTACTCTTCCGTCCTCTTGTTCTCACGGATAAAAAAGAAATTATACTAGAAATAGAAATGTGGATGCAAGTACATATTTTTGAAGGATAAATATATGGATAAGAATTAGATTTTATTTCTCCATGGTCTAAGATAAGATTTTACAATGCAGCCACTTCAGAAATACAAAATGACAAACTATGCAGAAAGAAAAATGCATATTGTTTATGTTTAAGAATTCAAGTGTGCGTCTTCATGGTTTTGATTTAGGGATTGAGATTAAAGTTCCAGAAATTAAAAGATCTTGAGTTTAAATCTCCAACAAATTCTTTTTTAAACATATAATTGGAAGCATACTCCATTGGACCTTCCGCTATCCACAGCTCTAAGATTTTCTGAACTCTTCATTAAACCAAAAGAAAAAGTTTCAAAATATTATGAAGGTATGAGGTTCAATAATATATGTTAAATGTCTAATTTTTTATAACGTAATTATTTGTTTGTATAAAAAAAAATAGAGATTTTTCGTGCACAGTTATCTAAAACGTACATATATAGACAATTCACATATATTTATGGGAGATGGTGTGGTATTTAGATTTTGTTTTACACCTATGATTGATGTGGTAGCAATATGTTGTGGAAGTAGACCTTAAATGCAATGAAAAAACCATGTTTTGTTTTGAGTATCCATTAAAATCCATATGAGGTCTTTTGAAAAAAAAAAAAAGAACAAAAGTTGTGTTTGAATTGCATTTTTCGTCATTTTTCATGAAAAAATTACTGTAGCGATTTGATATATGTGAGGGAAAAAAGTGATAGGGAATGTGATCACAAAAACGATAATATTTTCCGACAGAAATAAGCAATCCAAGCAAGGCCAAAGCATTTTAAGGACTTTTCTTGCCAAAGAGCAGCATAAAGTGGGATATCTTAACTTATTATCCTGTCGTCCTCTACGTTTGGGGATAGAAAATCGAAATCCCAAAAAGGAACAGAATATTGAATTTCTCCCGAGAATATGCAGTTTGCAAAATGAGTCACAAGATCACCTCCCTCGGCAAACCTTATCCCAGAGAATACTGAATCTCTTCTGTCCCTTTTTTTTGGGGGGACACTCAAGAAATTCCAAATTTTATTGAAGGGGCCCAAAATTTTTATTTTTTTGAGGGAAGGGGCCCAATTTTAACGCGCAGAACACACGTTAAAAGAGTACTAATTCTTCACACCAACCGATCCGGAAAAGGATCCGTTCACCTTTGGACTGAACGGTCAAATTAGCAGTCCCTTGGCGGTTGCACCTGAGCCAGGCGTTTGCGGAAATTCACCATAATTACGATAGAGCTTGCGTTTGATTTTTACCGCAGTTCCGATCTTATCCTTTTATTATCTGTTGCGATCGGCAATTGAAAACGAGTCGCCCCACCAAAGGGAAAATTATTCCTTGGGTAAAAAAAAATCCACTCAACTTTGTTGTGGTTTACGATAAAGTCAGGACTTCTCTTGTCGTTTAAAAATGTGTACGTCATCTCTATGTGATTTGCGATAAAGGCTCGTCATTTACAAATATTCACATAACCTTCCCGTGATTCCGACTGAACTGGAAGATGCTGAAAATTTGCCTAAATGACCGACAAATACCATGCACGCACATTGAAAACGCAATTTGCGATGAAAACTTGGTTGAGGTGCCCTAAAATGTTGTATACTTTTGTCCCAAAAATACCCTTCCTGCGTCCAAATATTAAGGTGCCCTAAATTGTCTACTTTTTTTACCCAAAAAAATATCCTTCGTACAGCCAAATAAACAATGAAAGATTGCTCAACTACTGCCACTCCATTTTTTATTTTTCTATCTCTTTTTTTTTTTATCAAAACGTTAGCTTTTTTTATATTTATGATGTCAAAACTGTGAACAAAGGTCTAAATTTATGTGGGGTCCTGTGCTTTACCCTCACTCCATCCCGCCGAGTATCTTTCCAACCGGGAAGAATACAAAAAGCTTGGGTACCCTCACTCCATCCCGCCGAGTATCTTTCCAACCGGGAAGAATACAAAAAGCTTGGGTCCTGTGCTCTAATCGGACTTCCCTCTTTTCTCCCAGACGCGTTTCATTGAACCCGGCCAATTCAAATCGAACTACTCCATCGTCATCGGTGGTGACAATTTCGGATACGGGTCTTCCCGTGAGCAATGCCCCGGCGGAGCTGATAGGAGGAGCAGCAGTGGTGGCCGAATCTTATGCGAGGATTCTTTTCAGGAAATATGTGGGGAATCGAGAAATTTATCCATTGGAGATTTTCTTCAGGAATTCTGTGAGGAATGTAGGACTGGAGATGTGGTGACAATTGAGCTCGCAGATATTTTGATCAATCACTACACTGGGAGAGAGAATAAGTTGAAGCCCATTAGGGATGCGGGCCGGGTAATTGAAGCTGGTGGGATTTTCGCTTATGCCTGAAAAACTGGGATGATTCCTGTGTGGAAAATTTGATGGTAATTGATTCATTTCTGTTCAAGATTCTGTTGGGTTCATGGAGCAAGATGGTGGTTGGGTTGTTCAAAAGTGGAAAACAAAAAGAAAGAAAATGAACGAGAAAGGGAAGAAAAGAGAGAGAGAGAGAGAGAGAGGAAAGAAAGTTACTTAAAGGAAGCATAAAAGATAAAAAGAAACGACGGGCAGGGGAAAAAAAGAAAGAAAATATGAGGAAAGAGGAAAAAAAAACAATGAAGTAGACAAAGAGACAATTGCTCCATGGGTAGCTTGGTTGATTCGGATCGCCTGTCTTTACAGCAAGCTCTCAGGTTCGACACTCACTTGTTATCGTTGCTAGGCATCTTTGGGACGAGCTCTGCCCAGTCTGAGGGAATTTATCCGGATGATTCCGAAATATCCCTCCAGACAATAAAAAAAAAAGGTAGAAAAAGAGACAAATCAAAAGGAGGGGATGAGATTGACTATAGATTTGAGTTTGTTCAACATTATTAAGGATCCCTCCAGACAATAAAAAAAAAGGTAGAAAAAGAGACAAATCAAAAGGAGGGGATGAGATTGACTATAGATTTGAGTTTGTTCAACATCATTAAAGAGGGACAGAATTGATATTTCACATTTTCCCAATCATCAAATCAAAAATTTTTATTTTTTTCTTGTTTAGTCGAAAGCATAAAGAGTTTATGTGAATATTTTCAAATGACAAGAGGTATCCTGACTTTGGCATAAATCACGTAGGGTTTAATGAATATTAATTACGCTTCAACAGCATGTGAACAATTTAATCACAAAACTTGTTGTGTCAATTTTCAGCAGAACAAATGTTTTTTTTTTTATTTCTTTTGGGAGCAAAACACATATTAATAATTAATCATTGAATTAATTCATTGTGCTCATCTTTTTCTTTTTTTATTTTGTTGCTAAGACGTCGTATTAATTTTTAGATACATGTAAAAATAAAACATAATAGTTACGAGAAGCATTATTTTGGATATACACTTCATAAAAAAAGGCCAACGCCATTGTGTGAATACATTATAATGTGCAAACAAATTGAGCGACTCACTAGCTAATCGGTCAAACGATCAACTCGACTCAACGTTGATCGAGTTCGAGTCAAACTCGAGCAACTTGTTTAACCAAACGAGTCGAGTATTGATCATTTTTAGTTAAACTCAATAACTCGTCGAGTCTTACCGAGCAACACGTATTATATATATATTAGTGTATAGTAAATTACATATATAAGTACTGAATTCTTGTCAATTTCCAAAATACCTCATTTCCTAATCAAGCTCGATACATCAAGATCTAGTTTGCTCGAGTCCAAACGAGTCAAAATTGAACATCTCAGAAACTTTAGCGAATCAAAGTCAATATGTAGAATTTTAAGCTCGATTCAACCAAATTCAATCACGAGTTGTGCTATAGCAAGTAGACTCGAGTATAGCACTGTTTGGGATCGATTTGATTTTTTTGCACCTCTAATATAGTCCAGTCTCTTAAACAGTCCACAATGCAAAATACTTAGGGACCATACTTTAAATGGTGACAATATAATGCCATATAATTTTTTACCAAAATGAGAAATCACCTATCCTAAGTCAATTGGTGATGGTATTTAATTTCAATTAACAAGGGTAATTTTGCTATCGCCATGGCATTAAAATTTACATTTTGATAATAAGTCCAATCTATAATCTGCATAGTTACTTGAGGTCTTTTTTTTCATAATTGTCTAATCAATTCGAGGAAACAATGTGTATATAAAGTAAGTAGTACTCTTGGTGACTTACCAAATTGATTGATAAAGTGTTTAGAGTTGCGCAAAGAATTATGAGAATTATGAGCATGAAGATCAAATCACACTATGCGAATTAAGTGGGTAAATGACTTTTTAGTTTTTAATACGATCTTAGGTCCCGTTTGACAAGTGAGTTTTTTGGATGTTTGTCTAAAATTTTACTGCAGTTTATTGTAGAAGTTTTTTAAAAAATTTTTGAATATTTTGAAGTGTATAATTTAAAAATTTTTAAAAATTTTTTGAAATTACTGTAACTAAAGTTTTTAAAAAGCTTGTAACAAATAAACTTGGCAAAAAACTCAAATGGCAAACAAGGCCTTATTTTATCTCAATTCGGGTCTCCCACGTTATTCATGCTTCCAAGCATTGAGGGTTATAAGGATTGTTGCCATTGGTTGGACGGAAGGAAACGATTTCAGCAAAAAGCAGGTAAATTTGGACTTTCGGATAATCAATTGTAAGACAGGAAGATTGGACAGAAAAAGACAGAGGTAAGGGTCACACTAATCGCAGGTCCCAAAATCAAAGTGGTACATGTGCATGCTGCAGAAGACCAGACTGAAGGAGGCATCCTTCGTTTACCCGTAAACGCATGCGGAGTTTGACTTGTTGACTCATTGAATTCGACGCGCTTCGCTTGGATTTTTCTCTATTTGGTCTGAGCACGTCACATGAAATTCAATTAAGTTGGCTTTGCCTTGCCTCAGCCCTGATCATATAAACCTTTTTGCCAAAACAAACCTAAATTGGTCGTCACACAATGCAATTGTCACAGTGGTTAAGGTTTTTTAAGTTAAAAAAAAACATTGTTTAGGTAAAATTTTGTCTATTAAATTGAAAAGAATTTTTATTAATGAACGCATAATTTATCTTAATCAAATTGTGAGTTTATTCTTATCATAGTCTGTTGAAATTGTCACGGTGCTTGGTCAAATGATGTTAAATGTTTAAAAGAGTATTCATTACCGTTTATTTCATAAGTATTGCATAAATAGGATGAAAATTGAGAGTGAGAATAAATTACATAGCCACGATTTCTTAAATGTTTCTAAATTGAATCTCACCGTACGCTAGTCAAATTTCCAATATAAATGTCTGTGTTGGACTTTCACA